AATCCGGCTTCCAATTCTCGTATCTTCTCGTCTGACATGATATGTGCTGGACTAGTCGCCAGCGACCATAGTGACAGCGACTGGAACAGCCTTTTCAGTTGGGCTAAAAATCGCAATGCCGATGCTTCCCTTGCTTTTTCGGTCAAGTTTATGCAATGGCGCTGCAACTGGGGTATTTCAGTATCCTCCGGCTTTGCAAAACCAGTTACATGGACTTCCTTCCGAAGTCTACCACAGAGCTTTTGGTATGCCTTTGTGGACACGCAGAACACAGGAAGTTCGTTCGCCAGTTTTTCATAGTCTCTAGCTGGTAAATTTATGCCAGCAATCTCTATCTGGTCTTCATCCTCTCCAAACTCTTGATCTAACTCGTGGATGCCGCACGCAAAGCCCTTTTTGATCTCATCCTTTGAGTAGATATTTCTGGCATTAATGCATTCCCGGATAATGCCTGTTTTCATATTTTCGGTTTCTTCCTCAAGCCGCTTTGATTCTGCTTTTTTACTTTTGATCTGTTGGTTGAGTTGGCGCCGCTGATGTTCAAGTTGTTTCCTCTCGGCTTTAAGAGCCTGATGCTGCCTCATCCGGTCTTCAGTTTCAGAGTGACTCGACTTTTGCACTTCAGCGGTGGAGACATCAACAGGAGCCGTTGCCATATCATTCTTGTTAGGGTCGGTTGTCTTACTCATCTCAACCTCGCTGGGCATCTTTTCTTCGTTGGGCATATTGCCAGATTGGCTCAAATGGGACTCTTTACTGTACAGGCTAGCTTCGAGCTCCTCGATCTCGTCAGCAATAGAGCCAATATCGTCCAGAATACGTTCTTTCCTCTTTTCAAGCTCAATCACCTCGACTTGTAACTGAGCACATAGTTTATTTTGTTGTTCTCGCTTCTTCACTGACGGCAGCACCAGCCTTAGAGAGTCCTGTACTTCGCTTACAGAGATATCGTCTGTTTTGGTGCATATAAAGGTGATGTTATTGAAAGCACAATCCATGTGCATTTGCATCTTGAAGTTCTGCCCTAGAAGGTCGTGAGCAACTTTATCATCCACAGCTCGATTAATGGGCGAGACAACCCAATGAGCTGAGCAACGTTTCATATAGTCTTCTGCAACGGCCACGCGCGCAGCATTAGAGTCAAAGACACCAGGCAAATCGACAAGAACAGCTCCGGTAGACAGCACCCTTGCTTTGACATAAATTCGAACCACGCGAATAAGCGGCCAGAGCCCTATATCACTGCTCCTCTGGGAAGGGTTCTTCAAGTTACACCTTTTGCCATTACTATCGATGTAAGACTTGAGTTTCCGAGAGAAGACTCGGGGCTTGTCCTCTTCAAAGATTAAGGTACTACCAAGCAGACTCAAGACGTTCTGATCCTCCAAGAGCTTCTCAACAGATGTATTGGTGATGTTTTCCATTTCCAGTGAGGGGTACACAGCTTTGATCTTATCAAGTGCAATACCGGCATTAGAATCCTTTGGAATGTTCTCTCGCGTGACATCCTTCAAGCTGTCGCAGAGCTCTTTGAAAAGGATGCGTAGTTCGTGTTCCCATTCGCTGCGTTGGATGAATTCAATGCGTGCTTTGTACCGGAACTCTCCATCGTTGTATGACAGCTCAGTCGCCACTGCAGTGGAGGCCCGCATGCAGTTTGTTGCGAGTATGTTTTCCTCCTCGGCGATGGCATTGATGAGAGACGATTTTCCGACACCAGTGCTACCAACAACCCCGATGATCACTTTTTCCGTCTGAGAAAGTGAAAGTGCCAATTCAATGTCGTCTTTCCAATTAGCATCACCCAACCAGACATCAGACTTATTGAGGACGCGCTGGAGATTCTCTAGCGCCAGTACTCCTGCGTCGACGGCAGATTCCAGGGTAGGTATCATGGGGTCTTCGTTTTCTGTTAGGTCATGGATCGGAGAGATATTTCTCTCGGTCCTTTCTGCATCCTCATCGTTAGAGTATGCGGCATCGTCGTCATTGCCGTCTTTACCACCTTCATCGTCGGTCTCCTGACACGACTCGGGTAATGCCTCTTTACCGAGATGAGCGAGTTGAGCTTTGAATATAGATACTTACAACTATTAACGCTAACCATTTCCGAGCAGATGTGGTACTCACTGGGTATGGACGAAGTCATCTCAGCCTCAAGCTGGGTCATGCTTGCAAAGTATGTTTCATAGAGAGGTTTCAAAATACCCTCATAGTCGGCCTGTGCTCCCATCGGCGTAGGCGTTGAGGCAAGTATCTGAACTCGCTCGGTGTACTCTTGGCGAAGTATCGGTGTTACTGATGCCCATGACTCCTTGAAGTTAGGGTACTGGTGTGCTAGCACAGATAGTGTTAAATACCTCCCTTGCTATAACAAAGTATGGCGCAAGACTTACAATGTTCCTGACCCTCCCATATACATGAGTGCCGAGCCTGCTGCTCAGCTATGTAATGAAGCTGAGCTAAGTTGATGGCTTGGTCATCCATTTTTCGACTTAGAGTAGTGTATGGACACTAGATAGGGGAATAGAGGAAAGAAGTGACGAAGAAGTTATAGTAGATAGTGTCAAAGGTGAGTGACTGATGGGAGACAGTATGGAAGCTAAGAGATTGAAAACAGCAAGCACAGAGTTGAGTCTTCAGTAACAATATGCCACCGAGGAGTGTTATGATGAAACACTGGGAACCTGTTGAGATTGAGCCTCTATACATTTTGTTACTAAAGATAGCTTATGTTGTCGAGGCCACAACAAGTTTGACCTTGGCTTCATCGAGAGTGAATCTTTGCATAAAGCTAGAGAGATGAAGAAGTGTGTCATTGGTATCTTGTTGAAGGCAAGTGCATTGCAGAGCAAGAGTCTACAACCCTTGAGAAGCCTTGATATTGGGTATAGTTGAAAACTCCTGCACATGGTAGTAGTTTTTATCAAGCATAGCAGGCATTGGTGTTAGTAGGAAAAGAAAAAGAAAGGGCAAGTCACGAGATAGCAGTATGTGGCACATTGCACCCAATGCCAGAGACAAAGTTAAGCAAGCACACCTGAAGATTTCACTATGCTATCATATATTTGAAAACTATGGGTACTGCAATTTCTTATTGCGCAATATACCGAGGAAGAAGATGCGATAATATCTATTTCCATCCACTCTGCAATCTCTGCCGATATTCAGCAATCATCTCCGCGGTAATATTGCTTCCTCCACAAACAACCACAACCACCCGACTGTCCGGAGTAAGATCGGGAACAGCGTCCCTCAACCTCGACCCTGCCGCTATTTCAACACTGATCCCGCATGCTAGCTCCACCTGCAACCGAAGCTCATCAGCCAAGTGAATAGTTCCCTTCGCAGCCTCAGCGTCGGATCCAACAACACTGACAACGTCAACGCCAGCCGGTGGTGACTGAGCATACTTCAAAGTCTGAGGAGCCACACAAAGCGCACCCAAAGAAGTCGCCAGGGACGAGATCGCCGGGAGAGACTGCAGACTTCCGCTCCGCAGCGAGAGCGCCAGAGAATCCGCTCCATTCGTCTCAGCAGCCAACACACGGACATTCTTCAACGTCGTACCAGTTATCAAGTCCGGTGTCGGATGAGATCGCATGTAATCCTCAAGTCCTCCCACAATCCCATTAAAAAGACCTCCGCCACCAACGCTACATACAATCGCATCAGCGGGGAAAGCATAGCCTGCGGGAGTGTCTCTAGGTGGCAACTGGGTAGCAATTTCCGAAACCATTGTCCTCGCACCTTTCCAGATATCTGGATGATCAAATGGGGGCACATAGATGTTCCGTTTCTCGGCCGTATCAAAGTCTTTCTCGTCTGCCTTCTTCTCGATGAAGTTTTGCCGTAGATAAGTGTCGGCCTCGAACCAGCTTGACCCATGCTGGATCACATCTGTAGCTCCAGCAGCGCGCAGCTTGCTAATCATAAGAGGTTTGGTGCTATGTGGTACGACGACCGTACAGGGGCAGCCCAGATCTCGGGCTGCGATGACGGCGGCTAGCCCTGCATTTCCGCCGGAAGAACTGTAGAAATGAAGCTCCTTGTGTTTGTTTGCAGGGTCCAGGAGAGCGCTGCGAATCAGATTGCCGATACCTCTGTAATGAATATGAGTTACGTCTGTGCTTTTGGGAGGTCTTGTGGAAGTTTCAGGCGGTCTACCTCGACTTGAAGGACCCTGAAGGTTGAAGCAGGTCTAGTTTCAGAAAGACTCTACTATATAGATATTAGCAATGATATATAAAACAGTCCTGGGCCAATAGAGTAAATATACTCACCATCCTGCTGCCTTTGAAAGCGTTGCAGACTCTATCAACGGCGTCTCGATCCATGGCTTCCGCGGCGTGGGGTGAGTACTGGTCATTGTCTTTTTTATTAGAACAACAAGAACAAACGCGAAGAATAAACTATAGATAGGGAAAGAAATGTCTGAAGACAAGGGAGAATTATTGGCAGGAATCGAGAAGGTGTTATATAGTAGACAGACAACATTGTCATTTGGCAAGATCACAGTGGGTACTAGTAATTCCGCGCCCTTTCAATGGCATTGAGCTTAACAATTGGCCGAAAAAGAATGCCCTTCTCCACTATAAATTTATCGCCAGGGCGATAAGAGATAAAACGCATGCTTCCAAATTCTTAATCTTTGACGAACACCGCCAGCGATCCAGCGTGAGTAGTAGTTCCTAAAAGTGCAATCCTCGAACATGCAAGAGATCATGGAGATTTTCAGGGTTGGATTTCGATAGACTGATAGGATAACTATTCGGCAGAATTATCACGTATTGAAGCTTTGGGCAAGGTATATAGATAAACTGCAACTCGAAATGCGGCGATTTTTTATAATAATCCAGGATGAGAACTATACAATAAGATTCTACCTTATGGCAAGTCTATCAACTAACATCAATGGCTCAGAAATAACTTTTAGCAGAAAGTCATAGAATGTTCTCCCACTTCCAGCACTGTACGCGACAGCCTAGCCATCTTCATAACTATATCGCCGATAGATTCGACTCTTTTGTCCGTCGGGCATCCCAACGAGTGAGCAACAACATAATCGCAACAACCGCCAACTGCGCCACGGTTGTTGCCAGATTCGAGATAAACCCTCCCCTGAAGTTCGGGGCTTCCACTGCTGGGTACTGTAGTAATTGCGTCCAAGCGGACATGGCTTGACCGATAGCGTTCATGCTGGCCGTCACAATTGCACGCTCTTCAGCATCGTTAGCCATCGTTACAGTTGCCCAGCTCATAGTGAGAGGGCTCATTGCTAGATAATAGGCTTCATTAGAACAATCTCTCAGTGGTGGTGGTAGTGGCAGATGAAGATAAAAGGATAGAATGTGTTTATGCAAGGGAGTTTTCGTTACCCACCACCCTCAGCTCCGGTAAGAATAAAGCCGGCCAGTCGTCCAGCCTCACCCACATCCCAAACTACCAGCAAAACAAGACCCAATAGAACTGGAATTGTAGTGATGATAGAAGGAAGCCAGAAATTCCTCTTCTTGTCCGCCGCGGTCCCCGCGATCAAGGCAGCTACAATAGAAACAGCCGTTGCAATTGTTGGGAGGGTATTGATCCTGGTGACAGAATAGATGTCCGGCTTTGCTTTGAGATACAAACTGAACGGTGTGGACGAAGCCAGAAAGTTCTGGTCAATGAGGATCCACTGCGCAACGAAGACGTACCAGTGCCAGCGGCCGAGAACACGCTTGAAAATGTCACGGGAGACTTTCAGTTGGCTTGGAGCTGTGAGGCCTACGAGGCGGGAATTGGCGAGTTCGTGCTCTTTATGGGTTAGGAACCGGGGTTTGGTGCGATGCGGGACGTCTAGGAATGCTATATAGCCGCTGTATCTGGTTAGTATTGTCCCTGTGACGGAGGTGGCGAATCCGGACGTACAGGATACATATGGGTATTGTGATGATGGTGCAGACGATGAAAAGCCACCTATGAAGCTTATTAGCCCTGGTATTCATTGTTGTACAAGTAGCTGCTAGACGAATACCTCCACCCGGCCAATCCATGCGTATTGTTCAGATTGGTATAGGCGGCCGCCTGAAGATAACCAGCAAACATTGTCCCCAAAGGCGATGCGATGAAGAACAGAGACACTCGACGACTGATTTCTTCGGGCTTATACCACGATCCAATGACATATATCACACCGGTAAAGGAGCACGATTCGCAGATGCCGATGAGAACCCGCATCGCGTAGATGGTGTCCGGATTCTGTGCCCAGGCACATCCAAATGTGAACAGGCCCCACCCGGCTTCTAACGTAGGCAAAACGATATTGATTCGACTTCTGGTCAGAAAGTAGCATGCAGGGATCATAGATGCACAATATGCTGCCCAGAATGCGGCTGTGATGTAATTGAGCTCATTACCGACGAGTCCAATGTCTTCTTTCATTCCCCTGTGTATTGCTGTTAGTCTCTGTTAAGATTGCCTGAGGACATTGCAATGGAGTTAACCTACGATACATAAGCATTCGTAATGGCCTGCTGGTCAAGGTATTTCGTGAAGAACGAAAGACAGCCGAATGTCAAAATCAGAACGTCCAATTTCAGTACCAGTCGCTTTTCGAAATGATCCATGTCTCTTGGATACCACCGTGCCCATGTCAGAAATTGAATCCATAATCCATCGTGACCTCCGTGAACGGTGTTCTCATCCCCAGACAACTCTCGGGTTGAATCATGGGCGGGCGTCTTTGATTCACCCATCTTGGTACTTTCTTACGGCTTGGTAGGTACTACTACTAACTAATAGTAGTCCTACTAGTAAGTAGTAGGAGGTCCTCTCCAGGTTTAGCCAAGTCAGGCAAGTTAGGGCTTCGCATAAGAAAAGCCGAGGACCAGGATGTATTTAGCAACTATATAGGAAGAAAATACGAGTCTAGATTCGACATAAGTAGCGACAGCCCCTCTTCAATTGGGGGGGTTGAATGGGGAGCCGATAGAGCGATCCCAGGGACTTATGGTATCATTGCCATCGATCCTGAGATATCCAAGTTTCCAGTCTAAAGGGATTTCCAATCTGGGAAATAAATGTCGGATTGCACTGACGATTCCGAATTCAACATTGTTTTCATAGCGTGTTTCTGTGCCGAAAAGCTACATCTACTAACCAATGGTTGTTTAGGGCTCGTGTCATGGTTGGTAGCATTGACGCCATCCAGACCGTTTATGCAACTAGTGGCCTCTATCCATTGTGTCATTGCATGTTGATATGGCTACCCATATAGTATCATTGGCCCCCCGGCCATATCTCGAGTGATAAGGCAAATGGCGTTTGAGACCACATATTTAGTAATGCTGCGTGTCATCCATCCGTCTTTGCCGTGCAGTAGAAGTAGACCCATTCTAAGAAGACGTATAAAGTACCTACTGGAATCTCTAGTGCTCCATACTCTAAGCAATTTGCAGGTACATCAACTTCCGATCTAAGAATGGCCCATCTCGAAGCGCGCAAGCACATATCCCCCGACTCAGGTTTCCCCATCACCCTCCACCCCAACTTCAACCCCAAAATCAAGCACCATGCCCCTCCAGACTCCATTCGTGAACCTTTCAACCCATCAAAAGACCGAGCACTCTTTGCCGACCCTGAAAAGAAAGCCTTATTTTCTGTGGCCAAGCCCGTAGACTTGACTGAGTCAATCGGCACCCTTCTTGAGAATGTGCAACTGTCTCAGCTGAACGAGCAGCAACTGGATGAATTGGCTCTCTTGGTGACCGAGAGGGGTGTGGTGTTTTTTAGGGATCAGGACTTAACGACGGAAAAGCAAGTTGAGTTATTCCAGCATTACGGTGAGTAGCGTATCCAAGGTTCCAGTAGAGAAGGCCTCGACGCTGACTTATACTTATAGGAATTCTCGATAAGCATCCTGCTCAGAAGGTGAGTGCGAACTTAGTATCTAGATTGCGAGATGCCAACTAGGGCTAACAGCTCTACAGGATCAAAAAGTTAGATAGTCCTCGACACATGGCTGCTCTTTCTCTACTGACGAAATTATACAGTTCGTGAATATCCACGGTAGCCGTGAGGATCATCGCGAGATTGCCAATTACACCCCATGGGTAAGACCACCATCCCATATATATCCACCATTTATTCGCAACGCAGCTGTAACTCCTCAAAGCCGAGTGGCGAGTTCCACGCAGATACTTCGTTTGAAATTAACCGTATGTCTTGCACACTCACTCACTAAATATAATGGCGGATACTTACCTCAACTAGCGCCATCGTATTCCCTCCTGAGAATGGAAGAGCATCCAGACGTCGGAGGCGACACTGCCTGGGTATACTTCACTCCTTCAGCCTAAGCCGAATATCCCAATCTAACCCCAAATATCATCAGGTCTCCCAATACGGCCTATACGACGCTCTCAGTGACGCTTACAAGAAATTCCTCGATGGCCTCCACGCAGTACACACCTCTAGACTCCAATGTCCGCCCCCATAACTCTATAAAACAAGCCAAAGCCATCCGAATACTAATGCCAAATAGATGACACAATCCTAGACCTCTGGGGCGTCGGTCCGAACAGACCACCCATCGACACCCACCATCCCGCCGTTCGAACGCACCCAGTCACCGGACTGAAAGCCCTGAACGTGAACACCGGGTTCGTAACCGGCTTTGCAGAACTCAAGAAACTCGAGTCAGGTTAGTATTCCAGTTCTTGCCTATGCACAATGGCGGCTGGCTCGATGGCCATTCAGTATTGACGTGGTCTGCTGTCTAGACAAGCTTCTGGATTTCCTATCACATCATATCCATGCCGCTGATGATCATTACGTGCGTTGGAAGTGGGCTGTTGGCAGTGTTGCGATGTGGGATAATCGGTATTATATTCCTATGTTGTCCATTCCCCCAGTTTATGATTGATGCTTATGTTGCTGGCTATAGCTGTACCGTTCATCGAGTGATCCCCGGAAGGTATAAAGGGAACAGACGAGGAATTCGAACGACCGTCTTCGGTGAGAAGCGTGAGTACCCGAAATACATCAATGGTTAGAGATATATAGATGAACTGACTCTCCCGGGCCTGTCAGCTTATTTTGATCCGGCAAGTGAGAGTCGAGATGAGCGCAAGTTGCGCGAAGAGAAGATCGCCAATGGGAACGCTTAACGGCAATACAATGGATGGGGTTTTTAAGGGTTTAGAGATTATTTGATAGAATGCCTATTAGGACCAAATCTATTCAGCGGTGCTGAAGGACCTTTAGTTGTAAGCTACATTTTATTCTGTATCATAGGTATCATTCCTACCCATCTAGTAGTATATCACGGCATCCTTGATGCCTCTTGCCTGTACTGCTAATAAACATTCACTGTCCGAAGAAGTAAATAGGCGAAAGAAATACAGTCGGACTCCCTGTCACCCATGAAGCGAGTATCAAATCATGTCATCTTGAATGTGACTGATGGACAAAATCAAAAAAAAATCCAATCCATCGCAAACGACAAGAATGAAACAAGGCGAAATCCAACTGGATCAGATCAAATAATGAACAAGCAAACGCATTTAAACATGAACATTAAGCTGTAAATCTTTTGCCTTCCAAGGGATACGAAAGACAAACCTGTTCCGAACGATTATTGCTCCCCTAAACGCCGCCCAATTGATAAAGCCGGGTATATCCAGCACCATGATGCAAAAATGTACGGAGAATAATAGATCGGTGAGGACGCTGTGGTGACCGGATCTACCAAAGCATACCAGTAGATCCAAAGCCTAGTCCTCATTTTTGGGCCTGAAACCTATGCATGTGGAGATGTGGAATAAGGGGGAAAGCAAAGGCAAGGAGATTAGGAAAAAAAAAAAAAGAAAAAGGGGAAGAAAAACAGGGCAAAGCGCAACTTGCTTTTGGTTCGCCAAATTTCCATCGGTTACCTGGCCCCTATGCCATACATACCGACCCCGTAACTTCCACCTCGTTCGGGTAGAGGAGTTGATATTTTCGACACATGATCCTTCGATCCAGCGTTAGTCAAAGCAAAACATTCTAGGATCACAGGCTATACCTTCTTCCGTTTCTTCTTGCTAATTCCTTCGCTATTGGAATAAAATGCGCCATCATCATCGTCGTCTGCGTAGCCTTCGCCGTAGCCAACAAAGCTATTGTCATCGTAATGCCTTTTGCGTCCCCGACTGGGCCGAGCCCGCTCCGGCTCAGTTGCAGTGGGTGTTCCATTCGCATGACTGGGCACTCGTGCGCCATTGGAAGGTGTCGCAGTCTTCTTGCTACCATCCCCACTTCCAGCATGTTTCGACTGCTTTTCATGACCAAGGATATCTTCCCAATAATCGTTGTTCGTAACTGTGCCCGGCTCCATTTTCATGGCTCTCATCTGAAGGTTATACAACGCTGAATCCATATCAGCAACCTTGATCTCTTTCCCGAACACCTTCTGGTTTTGCCACTCTTCTTCCGGCCACATCGTCATTTGTCTCAGCCCACCGGCCATACCGGGTTCATGCTTCACAGGTTTGTTTCTCCCAGCTAAGCCTAGGCCTTTCAGTTTGCCTTCGTAGGACTTTCTTAGTCTGTTGATTTTCTCCCCAGTTACCGGATCCATCCTTGCAACCGATTTCGCAACCGGACCAAGCCCGTACAAGGAAACAAGATCATACGACGGGTCCGGACCAGTCGCAATATGGGCTGTATATTTCATAGCACAGTGTTAACATATCTCAATCCAAGAAATGATGGACCAGAGTGCATTATGAAAACGGCAACAGCCGCACCAAGGATTGGTATTGGGGAGCTCTTACAGCTTTTGCAAAGATGGAAGGCCGACGTAAACTCCTTTTGCAGAGATTCTAAACTTGATTCATAGTTAGAAAGATCTGCCGTTCCCTTGTCAATATCCATGGCATCGCCATGGTTCAGCATATCCTGGCCGCCCGTGTTCCCAAAATCGCGGATTCCGGTTTGCGCACTTGGCCCTTCCGACTGCCGATCATGGTCTGTCCGTCTATATTCTGTCTGTTGCATGGGCGCATTCATATCTGTTGTGGATGTCGCCCCCATTTCCGGCCCGAATGATTTCTCTGTCTGTTCGCTATCATCAACAGGCGTTGCCCCCGTGAAGTGACCGTTCACACTGCTAGCCGGTGTCGGGAACGAATTTGTTGTACCTACTGTTGGTTGCTGTGAGGCTTGAGTAGACATCGGCACGGAAGAGGGTGGCGAGGAGAGGTTTGCAGGTTGTGACGTTGCCTGGCCAGGTGATGTTTGCGAGGATGCGAAATTGGAGGCATAGTTCTGAGCGCTTACCGACATCAACGGAGGAGATGTCGGGGTCTGTGGGGTGTGTTCGGTTGAAGTATAAGAAGGGTGGTTCGCTTTTAGAGACCCAGCGGCGGGAGATGATGGCGAAGGAGGCCCTAACCGGAATGACGCCGAGGAGGCGCGATCGGACATGGGGTCCCGAGTGAAGGTTCGGAGGAAGAAGATTGTTCAGAGCCTGAGCAGCCCTGGGTCCTGCAGCCTCGAGAGGAGGTCTATATCACAGACTCTCAACTCAAGGGCAGATCAAAGCAGATCTAGGCTATGAGGGGGGGCTGAAATCACTCCGGTCGAGGTTCGCTCAGGCGGGCGAGCAGGACGTTCCACAGCCGTCTAATATGCACACATTCCAATGATCCGATTCTGAGCGCTACCAGAATGTTGTCAAGCAAGCGTTTCGATGAGCAGTATAAAAGAGTGGAAGGCGAAACTCGGCGATGGTGGAGTGAGCGATGGCCCTTTGGTCCGCACTGGAAGAGAAACGGACGGCTTTGAGATGTTGGATGACGGCAAGAGACCGGAAGTTCACGTGACTGAGCCCTTTTCAAGGCTTGTAACTTACGATACCCGTCAATACGATTTCGATCTTTCGATCTTTTCTGGGTTCAATTGGATTTTACTATTAACCGCTAAGGAAGTTAGCGGCGAATTGCATCCAATTAGCATGCCCTTGTCAGTGCTCCGTACAATCAGGATTACTTCAATGACACCGTTGATGCTATTCACCTTCTCAATTTTCGTTTTTAATTTCATTCAACACCTGATATTTGTTTCGGAAGGACAAGAGAGAGAGAGAGAGAGAGAAAAGGAAAGAAAACGGGTATTTCCAGTTCTACAAAACGAAGGCCGTTACAGCCTCCTGAAACCCCAGCCACTGCTTACCGCTGGTGATCCACCTTTTTTCTTCGCCTCCTCTATTCGTACTCCATCGTGTTAGTACAATGAATTATTCCGGTCCGAGTATACCAAGATAGCTTCAACCCATACTGAGGAAATATTGAACATACTCGAGGCCAAGGGAGCGTTGTCAAAAAGCAGTTCTGTAGACCTTAATTCCTCCATATCCTAACAGTATATCACCCGTGAGACTAAATCAAAGCCAAACTAGCACCAAACACCAAGCAACCGTATCTCGTAAGCCCGTTTTTGAATAATCGCCCATGGGTATATCTACATTCATGTATCAAAACAAAGGTCGCTGCACGGGAAGAACCACGATGACTCTCGCAATAGTAAACATATTGTGACTTGGTTACCAATGGCCCCCCCAAAACTTACTAGGACTGGTAAAACGTTGCAGACTCCCGCACAAGTTGGGCTGACACATCAGGAATGTTCTCTTCCAACTTCGCCATCAGCTCAACCTGGTCATGTTGACTGAGCGTCCGCTCACGCCACGATGGAATAGGGTATGCCTCATTGAAATATTGCGAGTATTGATTTCCAATAGAGTCCATCCAATTCATAGGATCAACAGTCGCTTCAACATACGCAAGGTGGCTTGCCGTTGTAGAGGCAAGTGTAAAATCAGGATCCCAGCCTTGCAAACCAGGAACAACAGAGGGAAACTGATTGTAGGGTGTGGTTGGGTCGAACTGTCCATCAGAGCAAGCGACGGTCGTTGGGTTAAACGACGAGGTGGTATATGGGATCGGCGCTATGCTTGAGGAAGTAAGCCGTTGCGTCTGCACTTGAGAGTCCCACAGCGGATACGGGGCCAGTTTCATCGGTTCCGAAGGAGGTGAGGTGGTTGAGAATGGGAACGTCGGATCTGCAGAGTGCCCTCTTGACAATGTGCCCGAAGACAAACTGTCAGGAATTGAGGCATTCATACCCCGGATGTTCTGAGAAGGGAATGACAATGTGGTGCTTGCAGGACTTGAGATGGATGGCGGTGTCGCAACTTCCTGTGACGATGCTGGTGTTGTATGATTGGACGGAGATTGGACGACGAATGATTCATGAGTGTTGTATGCTTTGAGACATGCCGCGACAAGGCTCTTATATAGGAGTAATGCTGATGCAACGCCGGGCCATCTCTCTGCAGCAAGCACGATGGCCTCTAACGCTACGCCAAGGTGGCCCTTAACTTCCTCTACGGGATGCTCCCTTCGAATCTCAGGATATGACAGAGACCAAAGGATAGTGTTCAACGCCATAAAAAGGGATTGAGTGAAGATCCAGGTCAAGTCGACTGATTTAGTCGCAATCTGCTCTCGTTGCATTGCCACATTGAAGACGGACGCCTCGTAGCATTTCTGTGCAGCGCTGACAGAAGGCTCTGGTACCTGAGGGGAGGGGCGAAACATGAAAACGATCATTGTATTCCGCCTGCCATGAAACCTGTAATATGGTAAACAAACAATCAAAAAAATATCAGGCTAGTATCCTTACCATTTCTCACTCAAGCCACTTCCTCCGTCGTTTTTCGGACAGGAGGCTACCCAATAATCAAGTTTATTGAGCATTTGCTGGAACCATGGATCTTGGTCGTCAACAGGAGCATCGCGCTTATTGAGATAGAGAGTTCGCCTTATCTCCAGCTGTAGTAGTCGCATCTTGAAAAAATGTATCGCGATACACTTAGGTAGTATTGGCTTCCCTCCTGGAAGAATTCCGTCTGGGGTAATGAATTTGTCATCTATCAGTTCGAAAAATTTGACACGGATATGATCGTGGCTGACAGAATAGCAACTGGGCCGTCCAAGACTATGAGATAATCCAAACTCCATGGAGGTGACGATCCAAAAGAGTCGCCTCCGCATGTCTATTTCCAAGGGATTCAACAGTTCTCCACTGGGCGACTTGGTGATTGTAGCTTCGTCAGTGAGCCCCAGATCTTGACATAATTTGACGGCTATTCCAACAACCCAATACGCGGCAGTTCTTGTCGGGGTTAACAAAGAATATTGGGCAATCAAAACTAGACACTGCAAAGCCCTGAGGTCCATCCGCCTCAAAGAGGCTTCTAGAAAGGGTAGCGCGGCAAGGTAATAGCTGTCGGCTAATCCTGCATAAGCAGTACTCATCTTTTGCATACTAATGGCAATCACCATTCGTAGTTGGAAATTCTTGCATGGATCGTCAGATCCGTTGAAAACATCTTCGACCTCCTGGCGGAACGTAGGCTCGTGCAATGTTGGCAGCATCGCTTGCGCTAGTGAGATGTCAGCGTGCAAACAAACACTTTGGAAATGGAGATAAGTAGGAAAGGGCAAAAATAAATTTGATGGGCAATGAAATACCTTTGACCACAAACACATCGACAAGTCTGTACGTGACATACTTCGCTGGGAGGCTCGGCTGTGGGTTTGAGCTAATGATAGGGTAAACTTTCGATGTTGGCTTAGAGCTTTCCTCCTCAAAAGCTTGCTTTATTTCGTGTGCCGTTAATTCGGGTACAACATCCTTGATGCTCTTTGAGTCTGTATTCTGTTTGGCCATCTCCATAACTAAGCGAGTAATCGCAATGCCACTCGACGGTCCTAAAAATCTTGGGTCGTCATTTTCCTTGAACCGAATGCGACCAGCTCCCCGAACCATTAATTCTGCATCGGCTGCATGCTGGAATTCCTTCTCGGCCTCTTCCAGCTCCCTTTCCAACATACGGGCTTTCTCACGTAGCGAAACGATGTACGTCCTTGGTATGGTACACTTTCGGGCGGAGTCGAAGTACACGCATTTTGCATTGCTGCGTTCACAGGGGGAGCACCTTGGTATCCCGGGATCACACCTAGATTTGCGCTGCGCTGGTCTCAGTCTGACTGTCCCTACCTTAGAAATAAGAAGGAGAGAACCCGATTAAAACATACTTGTCTGCATCTAGTACAGGCAGTCAATGTGTGTGCAATGCGACCATCAGGTATTTCGTCTGATTGACTAGACGTCTTCGATGAGGGACTCCTCCAAGGATTTGTGAACTGTGGCTTTGTATAGGATGGGTTTAGCTGTGTCGCCATGGTTGGTAACGAGCCGAACAGTCCCCAACTCGGCTGACCAGAGGTTGCTTGCTATTGAGTAGTGACGATCGAAGCCAACATTCCATGCGATCACATGAGATCAAGTCTTTGCACGCAACAGGATAATTCAGACCGATCCCGAAGTGCGAAGGTTTGTGAAACAATGGCAAAAGGTCGGGGATAACAAGGCTTTCGACATATTCAGGATCCGTTCCAACTTGGCCTAGCTGCGAGGGGGCATCTGCGACGGTATCACTAGAAGAGCATGGGAGATTTGGAAGGGCTCAAGGTTCTGAGAGTCGTTCCTATGGCTAGTTCTCGTTCCGCTCTGTCGAGTGCATTCAGTTTAGAATCCAAAAAAGCCCCATGCAGGTAATAGGAGGCTAGGAGGTAGTGGACTGAGAGGCGAAACCTCGGTCCAGTCCCGCTCGGATCGACAAACGCGCTAAATGAATGAATGACGGACTACGGAACGCGAGAATGACCAGTAAGGAATAAGACAAAAAAGAGTGTGTGAGTGAGAGAGGAAAAAAAAAAAAAGGAAAAAAAGGAAGGAAAAAGGGAAAAAAGGGAGGGACATTGGTCACGAGGAATGCCAGTGCTTACAGTAGCAGATTTGTCTTATTGGCAGCGAATACATTCAGCCAGATCAACCAAACATGAAGCTAGTAGACTGATATTCTTTTCATATTTGGATGGCAAGTCGGTATCCGTTACAATAGCATAAAGCTGGTAATGGTTACACATTTGATTGTCGTGTCATAATTACAACAGCTATAGATTTACGATTTTACCAGTATCTGTAAGTAACCCAGAGAATCGGTCGAATGTGCAAAAGACCTTGAGTCTAAAATCTTGTAGAGTGTAGTACCTGCATAGTTTCTCCTTGAGGTGGTATGTTTGGTAGGGGAGGCATGTTGAATGAAGCTGAGAAGTGGATGTTCGACGCTTGGCCCCGGTGGGGGGGCACACAAGAGTAAAGGTGGGGTGAAAATTGGAGGGGGGCAAAGGATCTGAGAACTTCCTGCCAATGATAGTTGTAATCGCCTTGATTGCCTCTTTACTACTGTACTCTCTTACTGTTATCTTACCGTTGAAGATACGTGACTGCTCCTTACATTACTTTCAGTTAGCCACAAAATACCCGCCTTACTGATGCGCCTGAGGCTCCCCTCCAATTGATCCTCTGCCCCTTCTCTCTCAGCATGCACCATTAACCTTAAGAAGCATTTGACTTGACAATCTAAAACCTAGAGCTAACCGGACTTGCTAATTTGATTGATTGTGTCAGTGGCTCCCCCCTCCCCATCAGATAGGCGGCTGTGCCTAGCCTACATTCTCTATACCCCCTTGTTTCGGCCGTTTTGACTGATGTCCTCAGTTGGCAGATTCGGTTATGCTGATCTACCTATGAAAGATAACTTTTGATATACCCTCCCCTGTATAGCTCTTTTTCTGTTTGCGACATCCTTAGCTTCTGATCTATGTAGGTAAAACTATCTTCCAACCGTACGTTGTAATCACGAGCTGTGCCCCACGCCATGTCCAAAGCGTGCACATATTGAGATCGACTTGCTCTTGTGTTAAATTATGACTAACTGATGTTTAGATAATATGTACCGATATGACGTCTAGTGCTTCTTTTCTGGATAAGCCACTGCTCAAAGTCAGCCGGCCAGTGGCCGCATGTTCAAGATGTCGGACGGCCAAAATTAAATGCGATGGGAAGCTGCCGGCCTGCTCCGCATGTGAGCGAGTAGGGAAGGCGAGTACTTGTTCCGGCGCAAGTGATGAGTTCGCTAGAGGGAAAGAGAGGAGTTACGTTGCTTCTTTGGAAGGCTACTGCGAAAGACTCGAAAGGAAAATCGCAGACCTCCGTCGCCATAAAGAGTCATTATCCGTTGATGGAGCCGGTTTCGTCCGGGAGAGCTCAATAACATCGATGTCGTCTGCAGGCACCGTTGGGCAGGCTCACCGAAAAGAAATATCTGATATCGACGACCTAGTTGGAGACTTTGGCTTTCTGTCTGTGGCTCGGGTTCCCTGTAAATGTATTTGCTGACAGCATGACTAGATCTGTGAACGCTACCTCCAGAGATTTCCATGGAATTCAATCTGATACTTCATTTGCAAATCTACTCCTGTCACTTTCTCTCGCCGAGCCTATCCCGAAATTACCTTCACAGCCACTGCCAGCACGCCATGAGATTACACCACTTTTGCAACATTACTTTGATAATTTGTTCACTCAAATGCCTTTCTTCAGTGAGACAAATTTCTGGACCTCCGTGGATACTGTTTATCAAGCTGGAGGTCGCTTTGCCAAGCCTATTGACCATTGGTTTCTTCGTTTGGTGCTAGCAATCGCTTCTGCATCAATATCTCATCAGAGCGGGGATAGTAGTCATCAGAGAGCTTTATCTTTGATTTCGGGAGCTTTACCGTTCGCCGAGGATGTTCTTCGCCCTGGGTCTACTGTGGGCATTCAGGCCATACTACTGCTTGCCCAGTATTCCCTCCTTGATCCTAAACATTTTCGCGTGTGGTACCTCGTAGGAATGGCCGCCAGAGCCCTGGTGGATTTAGGTTTACACCAGGATCCCCCTTCGGAGGTTCTGCCGGCCGATGAACATTTGGATATGCGCCGGCGTGTGTTCCACTGCGTTTACTGTATGGACAGGTTTGTTCTCCTCTGCCCTGAAAGATATCTTCAAATGGTTAACTTTTATGTGAAGGAGTGTGAGCACTGCTTTGGAGAGAACTTTCTCATTGTCGGATGACTCTATGAATGTCGCCCTGCCACCCACATCTGGGTCTATGATGACAGGAAAGAGTCATATCTTCTTACACAGCTCGAGGCCTGCGTGGAAAATAGTCGAAATTAGGGAGATCCTCTCCTCGGCTTACCAGACAAAGTATTTTAATATGGATGGCTTGCCTTTGGAGTCGACATGGGTACTGTGCTCAAGAGCTCGGGAATGGTTCGATAATGCCCCTAAAAATGTGCCCAACTATTTCCCAATACTCTACAGATCAGAGCTACTGTATACTACTATTATAATACTTTCACCCACGCAGGATTACTCCAGACTATGTGATTACGGAAAAGTGTTACTTTTCGATCGTTGCATACAGTACGCCGCCGAACTTCATCACATTCTGGAGACACAAAACTGGTTGCCTTTAATGACCTCTCTCGATATCCGACGAATATATCAGGTTGGCCAGCGACTTGTGGATATACTACAGCAAAATTTCGAACTCGTCCTGAGCCCGTCAGTGCCCGTGCTTCCCTCTGTATTCCATGACATTACAAAACCGCCTATGTTGGAGGCATGTAATACTGTCAACTGCCATGGTCGTGCTATTGAATGCTTAGGTCACATCCAGAAGCTACTACAATTTGGCGCGGTGAAGTGGGAACTCACCAACCTTCTCGAAGGTTTTCAACAGGGCTCAGCACCCGTTTGGAAACAGCTGATGGATACACCCGTTGCCTATCTCCCGGGACCTGGTGCCTACATGGCTGGCCCATGTACGATTCTACCTAGCGTGGGGGCTGTGTATTCTGACCTTCCTTTAGGGCATTATAATCCTAATGCCCGGTGAAGGACCGTCCACAAAATTTCCTTTTCCTATTCTTGCTCTTTGCTGGTTACTCAATATTGCTTCCTGGTTTTGGTGGCAAGGTCTCGCCATCATCATTTCCTCCCTTCGAGCTATCGTGTTGAACTCTTCGCCTATCGTGAAAGCCCTAAGTCCCTGACAATCCAGCTGTTTGAGCCCAGTTTTTAAGCCTTGATTGACATGTTGATCCTTATCCTCTTCTTTCATCCTTGTCCATTTTTACAAAGCAACTCAGTCACTGTATGGTGCGGAATGAGCGTGACGCAGCAGGTGAGATTCAGCAGATCCTCGTGTGTGAACTACGACATGCGTTTCAAGGGCTTCTGCAAGGAATCAAAGAACCAGCGGTTCAACTGTTGCGGTATGTGGTAATATTGAGAATCTGTGAAGCATATAGTCTTCTCCCGGTACTCCCTCACTTCCTGCGCCCCATCCACCCCTTTCTTTGCTTTAGCTATCCCTCTTGTATGTGTGTGTATATATATATATATATGTGTATGTGTGTGTGTGTGTGAGAGAGAGAGAGAGAGAGAGAGAGAGAGAGAGTGTGTGTGTGTGTGTGTGTGAGTGAGTGAGAGTATGGATGCTTTCGTATTCCCAATCAATCAATAAACCCTGTACCTACTCTTCTGTACAGGGCGCAGGTGCGTGGTCTCAAATAACCCTACCACAGGACCAAAATCAATGTACTCCACACCAAAGTCACGGATGCTGTGCATTGGAGTAATGGCTTAACATGATGCCGCTTTGGCTCATTGCGTACATTTCCAGCGCTTGCCTTCCTATTCTGGCATGTTTCCCCGCAGGGTACTTGCTCTGGATAGAGGAAACCCTCCATCGCAAAGAACCGAGGTCCATGGTGTAGTACGATATGCTTTTGGTAGCAGGCCTAGATTTTCCCCTTGTTCATTGCTATATACCATTTTTCCTGCAGTATATGCTACATATGAATAATACTTTCTTGGTAAGTGGAATGTAGAGCCTAGAATCATGGAGCAAGTGCTGTGATCATCTACTAGACTCAAGGGTATATTTGACCCCCCATTTGAGACATGAATCAATGTCCCACCTGCAGGATCAGGTTCTGGAACGTAAAAACAGGGCTGAAAGCTTGAGTGAGCGTTGCCCCCACTTGGGCCTAAGATAGATCACTCACTATTATTCGGGAATGCCGAGTGTGGAGAAAGGCATCGTGGTCTGTCCACTCCAATTGCCCAATAGACTGGTTCGATATCCCTAGTGTCTTCTTTTACGAAGCGTGGAAAAGCCTAAGCCTTCCTAGACGGGGTGCACCCTTTGCACCTAACAGACCAATTCTTTTACCTCCCCCATTTGACATAACGGGTTTCACTTTATGTGTTGACTTTTTGACTCACGAGAGCACTGTCCTGGTGCAAATCCAACTCTCTGCATGTTTTGTCTTTCTGTTCTTTTTTACTTCTTTTCCTTGCTTAGCTAACGAGATATCGCAAGGGGCTTATTACATGCCCGGCAGCCGTGTCGCTGCTTCTATTAGTGAAGCAATCTCCACACCATTACATTACGTGGTAATCATTCAGTACCAGAATATCCATGACAGATGGGCTACTAACCGAACAGTCACGCAATGCAATAACCGTAGCGAGCATCGGCATCGGCTTACGGTATCAGTCAAGTAGTTGCTTACCTCTTGGGGGCAGTGGTTGAGAGAGCAATGCCATCAGAAAAAGGATAAATCAAGCAGGAATGCTTTGACTGGGTTCACTTAGACTGTTACTGAAATGTGTCTTCTATCTTTACCTTCCCATGTCTTCTTCTATGCCTAACGGTCTGTACCGACACACTTAGAGCCGATGTAATAACATACACTACTCGGAATCTCATCACCGTAAGGCGAAAGCGTAAATGCAGAGGTAAACGCTGACAGTACAGGCCAGTCTAAGTGACGGGTGTGAGTGACAGCGTGCTTCTTGGTGTATTCACCCAAAGACTACCGAAAGACAACATGAACATGGAAGAAAGTTAACGGGAGAGATGGACAGATGCACCTTTTTCTACGTTATCCCAAAAATTGCCGGCAGCTCTACTGTAGTCGAACTCTGTGGGCTTATCTTTGGACAGGGTTGCTCAAGCGGCTATCTACATTATGAGGATTTCAATTTCTACTTGGTATTTGGTACATGTATATATCTGATTTCCCCCCTTCCTCCCCCCCAACAGTTGAGGCTTAAATATTGAACGTAGAGGGCGCTACGCCTGGGACCAGAAAGGGCAATGCCTCAAGGGTCCACATCTGGACCATCAACTCTACTGTGTATCCTGTGTAGTAGTAGCTCTGGGTGTGTATACTATGAAAATTAGCATACAGCTTAACCTTAAAAAGACCAACTAGGTAGCATTAATAGTTCCACCAAGGGTTCTCAGGCAACCCCAGGGAAATCCATGTTGAGCATGAATGGAAATCGAGCTGCAGGTGGTGACGTCATTGTGATGCGTTGCCGCCGTCCCGAGTGGAGAGAGTCCAAGGGACCGACAGAATACATAGATACTTCTACTCGTACATACTACTATGTAGTATACATCTTCGTACAGAATACTAACAAATACTCCGTACGTGCTTACCCTGATGAAAGTGTCGGCGATTAAAGGTTGACGTCGAGTTTTAGCTCGGGGGTCCAATGTCCATGATAGGGCGCCCGTTGACTCCATCGTTACCGCATCGTACATACTACTTAGTAGTACGAACCTCATGGCGCTGATCCACTTCTCGGCCGGTGGTGTTAAGGTTTGATGATCTTCTCGCGCTTTTCTTGATATTGCAGAGGGAGCTCCAGGAAACCCACTGCAGCTCTTCGTCATCACCAGATGACCTCATCCATCCATCGGTTTTCTTTAGCACTCAATAAGGGGGGGGAAGGAACCCGAGATGGCCTCAGGGACCAGGCATCGAAAGCTTTTCCAAGGATTGAACGGATTTTAGGTGGCTTTCTTAATGTAGCAAATCCGTACCTGTAGGTAAAATTGATCAAAATCGAATAAAATTCAATCAGTCCAGCAGCCACGACACCGTGACGTCAATTGTTACAATTCCGCCGGACGGCTGTCTTCTTGCTTGTGAAATTCCCCCTGCGACTTGCTTTCCTGCTTTCCTGCTTGATATATAATCCATTCCCACCTTCGTCTCCACTGTTGGTTGTAAAAATCTCCCACGGTGTTGCATTCCAGTCAAAACATCCAAACCCCTAACCTAATCCGTTTGCGTCCTTCATTCCCCGTGATACCCTCAGCGACGTGACGCCCTGTTTCTCCCTTGTAATCTATCCTTCTCTCGACTCTCCCTTGGCTGGCGTCTTGACTGTTTCGGTTTCAGTGGCACGTTTCAGACCTCCCAGCAGTCCCTCCATATCTAATCGTTAATCTTACGTTATTAATACCCCTCTCCATCTCGTGAGTACCGGGAGACAAGAAAGCCTACAATCATGTCTTCCCGGCTGGTCAATCGCCCTATCGATACGAAACAGAGGGACAAGGTGGGTTGGCGGCGCATTCTATTTCTATTCGGGGAAGAAAGTTCCATGCTAACCCAAATCACTCGTCTATAGGATATCAACCAGAAGCTGCAACTATATGGGATATACCAAGGTAAAACCCCTCATGTCGAGAAGAGATAGTCACATTCCGGCCATGTCACTGACCCTGTTTCACAGCGTTCAAGAATGGCAAACTTCCATCAGTGAGTCTTAAGACACCTCGATATAGCACGGCCCCCTCGGCATCAACCCGACGACTAACAAACGATCGTGCTGCAGAACAAGCAATGCGATGTTGCTCTAAACAGCGCACTCAAGTCTAAAGCTTTCTCATCACCATCAAAGGAGTTGTCCGAAGAAGGACAAGCCCTTATTGAAGACGTTCGCGACGTCATTGAGCACGCAAAGCGACTCATTCTTAGCAAGAATGACGGTCAATTGATTCAAGAGTTCATCTGGGAGGCCCAGAGCATCACTGGTGAACATGTCGGAGAGAAGCCAGATGTTCCTTTGAGTAGAGAATCGGCCCAGCAGGATGGTAGGGAGGCTCTGGAGGGCTTGAAGACCCTTGGAAACCTCCTGATCACCAATGGAGAGTTTAGGAAGCTCTGTACGTATTCTCTTGACCCATGGAACTGCTATGTTATTAACATGTGAAAGTGAACGATGCCTGGATCCTTGTCCGCGATATTGCTGGCGATGCTTCGCAGAAAGCCGCCAACCAGGTCCGGCCGTCAGAGGAACAGCTGGCACAGGTTGACCAGCCTGCAGAGGATAACACCTGGCATGAGAAACCTGACTATTCCAAGCACAAGGATCAGTTCACTTCTCGTTTCAGGAAGAACAGGGCTACTGTAAGTTTTAGCTTTTACGTATGCAGATTATTACGAGCAGTATTGACAGTTGAAAGGCCGAGCAACAAGCGAATGAAGTCGCCGACACCGCAGTCCGGGCTGCAGCTGGTGACCAGCGGCAGGACTCTGCTGTGGAAATTGATGGCCGTACTGGCGCCGCCGCAGGTGCTGAGATGACCAAGGAAAAGCTTTCCGAGAACATCCCTGAGGAGCAAAAGTCCCGTGCCCGTAATCTTGCCGGTAAGACGAAGGGCTACCTGTCGAAGAAGATGCCCAAGGAACGCCGCGAGCAAGCTATCTGGCGCATGAAGAAGATGATCATTGAGATCCAGGGCCGTGCCGATTGTGAGTTACCCAGATTGAATAACGAACATCAAGCTTGGTGACAAAATGACAAGCTAATGAGTCTCGTTTAGATCAACGGGCCATCGAAACATTGCTGTCTCTCGCGGAGAAATATGGCAGTACTACTAGGGATGTAACCCAACAGGGTGCTGGAACTGTCAAGGGTACCCGTGGCACTGACAAGATCAGCAATATGGAGAGGAACCTACGGGTATGCTCCTTTGAAGCGCAAGCACTCCGTCAGTTACTGATTTTCTGTCGCAGGTTCTGATCGAGCGGTTCGCCAACAGCACGTCCTTGGACGACCTCTTTGACTCGCTAGAGAATATCTATCGGGATGCAGACAGAGATCCTGAGCTCAAGGGATGGTTCAAGAACATGGACACATTCATCCGGTATGTCTTTGCCTGAGGATTATTTGTTAAGGCTTCACTAATAGAAACAGAAAATCCCTCCAGGAACAAGGCTATATTATGCAGGAGGACTGGGACCGCCATTATGATCAGCTGTCCGACCACGGCCGATATTTGTTACGCGAACGCTACAGGGCCCATACAGACCGCATTCTTGACGAAGTCAAGTTTATCGGTGATCAGTTTGCCCAGGATCCTCAGAACAAAGCCTTCGGAGAAGCGGTTGAGAAGCTGTTCACTGATCTCGGTCGGGACTCAAGTGGTAATGTCTCTTTAAAGCCACACCTACTTACGGACCTTCGAGATGTCATTTTGCCTGGCATCTTTGAGAATGTCCGTTACGTTCCTATCCCTCGAATTGAGGTGTCAGACCCCATGGCTGATGTGGTAAGTTTACCCCCGTCGAAGGAAGTCCTGGTTCGGCTTATAACCTCTTTAGGTCGTGGAAAACCTTGTCGTCGAGAGTGATAACTTGATGCCGAATGTTGTCGAGTTCGGCAGTGACAACTACCTCCGTTGGGGACGAAAGAAGATCAGCAGCAAGAGAGACAATAAGATTATGATCTCTGTTTCTGGAATTCAGGCCGACTTGCGAGGTAAGTCTGACTCGACTTATACAACAACTATAAGCTCATGCTAACTCTTAACTTTTCAGATGTCAGTTACTACATTAACAAGAAGCAGGGATTTCCTGCCCTCACAGATCAAGGAGTTATGGATATCTTCTTGGGCGGAGATGGCTTTGGCTTCAAAATCACAGCTTCCAATGCCCAAAAGGAAGACCGCCAAAACTTCGTGAAGTTGGACAAAGTGTCCGTGAAGATCGACTCCTTCAACATCAAATTGAAGAAGTCCAAGCACAAGGCTCTGTTCACGATCTTCAAGCCATTGCTTTTCCGCACCGTCCGCCCCGTCCTGCAAAAAGTCCTCGAACAGCAGATTCGTGATGCGTTCTCTAGGGGAGATGCTTTTGCCTATGAGATCCACAGCGAGGTCAAGCGCGCAAAAGAAGCCGCCATTGAGGATCCCGCAAACACACCCAACATCTACTCCCGCTACCTGGATGCCACGCGCGCTAAGATGGAAGAGAACAAGAAGAAGGCCCTGGCTGTCGCCCAGCGCGCCTCTCACACCAAGGTCCAGACGGCAACGACGCTTCACGATTCCCTTTTCCCCGAGATCATCCTTCCTGGTGGCATCTCCAGCAAGGCCACTGAATACAAGGAGATTGCGGAGAAGGGCGAACGTTGGGAATCACCTATCTTCACTATCGGCGATGCAGCTGAGTCCTCTAACATCCCAACCCCGGCTGATATCACCCGCAAGCCACACACCACCGCCCAAGGTCGTATAGCCGATGAGAACGTGACCAACGGCAGCGCAACAGCTAGCGGTGCTCACACTTCCAACGGTTCCACCGCCGTTGGGGCAACGAACGGCTCCGCTGCGGTTAGAGGAACAAATGGAGTTACCAACGGTGCCACCAACGGTGTCCACAAGGCAAACGGTTACGGTGCCCGCGGATTCTCCGACCAGGTCGACAAAGCCTTCACTTCAAATGGCGGCTACAAGGCCACCCAGGATGGTGTTACCGCTACCATCCCGGGAGCTGAACATGCTTTCAATCCCCAGACTGCTTAAGAGGTTAGCCTCGCATACGGTTGATCTATGACTTCCTTAAGGTGTATCCTATGCTGTCTATATGTTTTTGATATCCCAGTTTCAGTTCGTATTTGTGATTTTGGTCATGTTACCCCCTTGTGTTGAATTGTGGACTAGTGGGTATGGTGCTGGTAACTTATGATCATGGTTCTGATGTGCCATGTCATGTACTTTCTCTAATGTATTAATGCTCTATGGTTGTGTCTTGTCACAAGGTACTTAGTTAATCGAATCTTTTAATCTGCTCGTACAATATCTTATGCTAAATATCCTGTAGGCATGTAGCACTACCAATACAGCAGATAGCCTTAGTAGACCGTAGATAACAATAAACCTGGAGCGGTCGGTACTCAACAGATAAGAGAGGATACAATAATCCGAATAAAGAATAACTACGGATCTCCAAAAGACATAACTACCTAAATTTCATCAGTACGTCGCACGTCTATTTTAACATCTATTAAACCAACTTTTCCCAGTCCCCTTTTCACATTTGCTCGAAGTATTTTTCCCAACCGAGCTCGCGCATCTTAGTACCCTTGAAATCGAGGTTCTCGGTCTTGGCCTGCTCAGCATACGCCTCCACCTTGCGCTGGATGGCCGGGTCAAAGGAGCCCAGGATTCTGGCGGCCAGGAGAGCGGCGTTGATGCTGTTGTTGATTCCGACGGTGGCGACGGGGACACCTATAATTATGTATTAGTGAATTTTTTTTTTTCATAAGAAAGCATCAGTTGGAGATTATCATGGTTGGACATACCTCTGGGCATCTGCACGATGCTGTACAGACTGTCTACACCATCCAAGGAGCTGCCCTTGACCGGGACGCCGATCACGGGAAGAGCGGTGTGAGCGGCGGCCATACCGGGGAGATGTGCAGCGCCGCCAGCCGCAGCGATGATAACCTTGATACCGCGGGCAGCGGCACTCGCGGAGTACTCGGCCATGTACTCCGGGGTGCGGTGAGCGGAGGTGATGTCGACTGCGGGCTCGATGCCGAAGTAGTCTTTAAGAAGCTTGAGTCCCGGGACGAGGGTCTTAAGGTCGCTGTCCGAGCCCATGATGACGGCCACAGAGGGTGCAGGCTTCGAGGGGCCCGACTTCTGGGGCTTGGTCTTGATGTCGCTGCGCTGGGCGCGGATCTCGTCGACCACGTCGATCAAGGGCTGGATGTGCGTCTCAGCTTCGTGCATGGTTGGCGCAGTGACGGTGATGTGGCCCATCTTGCGGCCTGGTTTGGCGGCGCCCTTGCTGTAGAGGTGGATGCTGGCGTTAGGGATGGAGAGAGCATGCTCTGCGGCCTTCAGATGTGTGTCGGGGGCGGCACCGCCGATGATGTTGAGCATGATGCAGGGTTGACGGATCTCCAGGCTCTTGGGAGGGATGGGGAGATCGAGAATGGCGCGGATATGGGTATCAAATTGAGACAGGGGGCAACCTTCAATGGTGTAGTGGCCGGAGTTATGGATACGACTAGCAATTTCGCACAGGATCAGACTGTCGTCTTCGAGGAGGAACATTTCGACACCGAAGACACCCTTTCCTTCGAAGGCTGCGACGGCCTTACGGGCTAACTCCTGGGCTTTCTGGTTGATGGCGTCGGATACGTTGCGCGCAGGAGCGTAGACAAGCTTGCATATCGAGTCTTCTTGGACGGTCTCGACGGTGGGGTATGACAGGACATCGTCCTTGGTCTTCACGACCATGACGGCCAATTCCTTTTGCATGCTTAGCAATCGTCTCCTCTTGGACAATATGGGTCGGGTACTAACCATCTTGAAGTAGGCCCACTTCTCTGCGTACAATGGACGGTCCTTAAGCGCTTCAAGGGCCTCGGGGATATCCTCCTTGGAGTTAACACGATAGTTTCCTAGGCACAATCGTACATATTAGCCGTGAAATAGTGTATATGGTCATCGTCAAGGATGACTCACCACGTCCGTCGTACGCCATAGTCTTCGACTTCAACATCATAGGGTATCCAAGCTGTTCGCCAACCTTGGCCAATTCTTCGGGGGTGTTCTCGGCCAGCTCACGGTGCTCCGCCATGGGAATACCATATTTCCGCAGATGCTCCTTCTGGTTGAACTTGTTCTGAATCGTCCGAATCGCTTGCCAACTGGGTTCGATCTTGACCTGAGAGGCGATCTCCTCCAGGGCGTAGGTGTCGACATGCTCAATCTCCGCCGTCACAACGTCGCAGGTCTTGGCCAGTTCCCGAACGGCCTCGCGTTCCTTGAATGAGCCGGTAACGTGGCCATCGTGGCTGCTAATCTGCTTGGCCGGGGAGTTCTCCGCATCGAGTACGTTGCATTGAATGTTCAGTCGGTTGGCGGACTCGACCAGCATGCGGCCCAATTGGCCTCCGCCGAGGATTCCTACCTTAGGAGAGTTCCACATACTGGGTTAAGGTATAGAAAGAAGTTGATTCGGGTGCACAATGCAAGTGGAGAGACGCAAGTCCACACAATCTGGAGAAAGTGAATCAGGAGCCCCTCTTCTCCGCCTCTAAAAAATTGGCCCGATAACCGTCACGTGAGGCTATTGATAAGCGTCTGCACGGGCCAATAAGGCACGGTCGCTACCCGCCTCCCCGCCCGCGCGCCTACGAAAGCTCCGGCATTATCGTTTCGCATCGTATCGCGTCTGATTTCAACTTCACCTCCTTGACCCTGGGTTTTCGCATTCGGGAGGATGTCTCTAGGTATGTCGTATCTGTGTAGCTGTGATTTAGCTCCCTAACCATTGGGTTTCTGAATGCGATGCACATATCTTCAACCCATCCCACTTCGTTCACACCGCCACGTCTTCCTTCCAGATGCATCTGTTGGAGCTATGTTAATAGCTAACTGAGATTGTCCTGATAGACGAAGAAACCCTGGAGACGGTCGCCAATGGCGGCTCGATAGACTTGTATGCTAGACATTGCCACCCCACCCTTGACTAACCACTGACGTCCTATTCCAGTGAGAAATGGCCTAGCATGGTAGAACCGTTGCTCGAACGATTGGAATATGTGCGCGTCTCCCTCCATCTTGTTCTCGACCTCTTAATTCTAACTGGAACACCGGGTAGATCGTTTACAATGTCTTCCCCATGCCCCAAGTGTCGCCAGAATCCACCGCACCTATCTCCCAGCCACAGCCAACCTCCAGCCTCTCCACCTCCTTCCTGCAAGAGCCCAATTCAATACCCACAAGCAGCAATAAAGAGAATGCCACCCCAGCAGACTCCCAGACATCCACACAGCCCACAGAGCCCTCGGGCGAGCGCATTCTCGACACACAGCCTCAGTCTTCTGCCAGTCCAACTCTGCCCACTCCCCTCCATTTACTGCTAGACTCCGCCAAATCAACATTGAGGTCGCTGTTCAGCACCAAGCCACCGCATACGATCCAAAGGCTCGCAGAGCTTATCATCCGTCCTAACAAGCACTACAAGACCCTTCCCGCTTACTTGCGAGCGGTCGACCGCGTCGTGTCGGTCACTAGCAGCGCGGATATCTTCCCGCTTAAGACCCACGCAAGCGGGGACCAGTCGAATGGTATTCTGAATGGTGCGGAGAGTGGACTGATGTTTTCGGATCATGCCCTCGGTAGCGATGAGTCCTTGGGCGGTGCTCTTCTCACCCCCATTCCTTGGTTGGGTAATGTTGCTTCTCCGGATGCTGAGGATGAAGGTGGAGCTTCTCTTCCCGAAGGTACCTTCTCCCATATAGGCTCTTAATCTATAGACTGAGTATCTGCTGACATGTCGATAGATCATGACGCTATGTCTGAAGCAGTACCACAGCAGCACCCCCTTCAGCAAGAAACCGACGGCGCCGCAGAGCCTGTACTTACCCATCCGACAACATCGGTTATAGAGAACGAGGCGATGGAAGACACTGGACCCCAACAGACGGACCCCTCAGAGGATATTCCCCATGCTCGGGGTCCCCGGATACTAGGAGTAGAGGACATGGGCTTGCAAGACGGCAAGGGAGTCGAGATGACGCTCGAGAACGAAGAAGCCAACAGCAACTCCGCCGAGGAAAACGGCCAGCAGGGCAGTGATGCTAACCAGACTTCGACCAAAGAAAACGCAGATGGAGACGGAGACATCACGCTAGACGACGCCAAAAACGCAAATGCAGAGGTCGGCGCCTCCACGAAGGGAGATGAGCAACCTAAACCCTAGTTCGAAAATTGGAATTGGTATGACTTAGTTGAACAGTTTCTGCACAGGAACAAGCTACACACTTTTCGTTATTTGACTGAGCTTGCGTTGTTTCATGATTGACGATCTGAAATATGATTCGAGCGTGATGCAGGTCTTTTGTCTCCTTTTCAACCTTGTTAATGATGTGATGTGCGCCATGTACGCTGGTATATTAAGATTGATGATATTGTGTAGCTGGTAGATAGAAATTCAGAGAAATACGTGAACATATAACCCATTGCTAGGGTGTGCTGTAAGCATTGCCGGCAGAAGCGCTCTACACACTAACGGGGCACCAGAAGCTACCTCGCACTACGATCATTGATCCGAGTAACCCAAGTGTAGATAGGTATCATTGACCAAAACGCTATAAACATAACCAAGAGGTATCGTATCAATCCAAACAATGAACATACAGTATAGCCAACAAACCGAACCAAACAAAATCAGGCAATTCTCCAGACGGATCGTCAGATAGCCCCAAAGAAAAGGCATGCTTCTAATCATGCTAAATGTAGTGTATAAACTTCATAATCAATAATGCAAAAAAAAAAAAAAAAAAAACCTACAGATGTAATTACGCTTAAACGGCAGGTTCGACGGTCTGCAGCGGGACGTAGCCTTCGTCTGAGTCCAAATGACCGGATGGTTTACCAGTAAAGAAGGACCGAATCCTTGTGCCTTTGATCCATCGCAACGGTCCGCCACGACCACGGGATCCACTGACGGAGAGGGCTGCTTCCCACCAGCTTTTGCGGGAGCCACGGAAGCTGAGGCTGCCCATTTCTACCTGTTTCTCGAGCTTCTCGGCATCCATCCAACGTGGTCGGCGCCAGAATTTGAGGAGGAGGCTGCTCACCACGACCGAGATGCTTGATGCTGCCATTGCTGCGCCGGCTGCCATGGGGGGTAGCATGTATCCACCGAAGGGGAGGAATAAGCCCATGGCGAAAGGCAGACCAATGACGTTGTACATGCAAGCCCATACGAGGTTTAACCGAATGCGGTTGAAGACTGCTCGAGAGAGTGACAGACTCGCGGGCACGGACAGTAGATCGTCGGGTCGCATCAGAACAATGTCGGCCGCCTCCATGGCGACGTCTGTACCAGAAGCAAGCGCGATACCGATAGAAGCAGTGGCCAAGGCTGGGGAGTCGTTGATTCCATCTCCGACCATGGCAACTCGTTCACCTGATGCTTCTAGTGAGGAGATTATAGACTGCTTGTCGGAGGGAGAGACAGATGCGTGGACAGTTTCGGGCGAGATGCCAACGGCGTTCGCGATGGATATAGCGGTAGCATGTGTATCGCCTGTGATGAGTGATGTGGAGATACCCATACGATGCAAAGCTGCAACCGCTGCTACTGCGGTTACCTTGACAGTGTCCCGGAGCAAGAGCGTTCCTGTGTACTGGTTATCAATTGCCACATGGATTCGCGTAATCCCAGCAGGAACCTTTGATGTTGTCGTATCAGAATCCGTGGTCTCGGCAGATTCAGGCACTGAGATGTCTCTGGACCTCAAAAACGTGGCATTTCCAATTAGGACGCGGTACCGGACGCGCTCCGCACTAAATGCGGGCTCGACCAAGGCAGATATACCTTTTCCAACACAAGCGTCAAAATCACCTAAGCTTCCCGGCAGCCCACCGTCATCAGAATGACCGGACTCTGTCTTAGCTGCAAAGAAGATTGCTTTGCCAATAGGATGTTCGCTGTTCATCTCTGCGAGGCCGACAATCAGCCACCAGAGTTTACGACGCCATTCATTCGAAGTCCAGTGGCGTTCAATCTTGGCCTCAGCCACGCTCATTTTCCCAGTAGTCAAGGTTCCGGTCTTGTCGAAAACCACATGAGTAATCTTTGTGGCGGCTTCAAGAATAGCACCACCTTTGACGAGAATTCCTTGTTGGGCACCAACACCAGTGCCAACCATAACTGCCGTCGGAGTGCTAAGACCCAGGGCGCAGGGACACGCGAAGACAATGACCGATATGCACAGTTTCAGGCAGACCATGAGCTTACCGCCATTATCATCCGCTAGGAAAATCTTAGGCGGGTGCGGTAACAAATGGCTCATTACCATCCAACCAAAGAAAGTGATCAATCCAAGGCTAATAATCGCTGGGACGAAATATCCTGCAACGATATCAGCCATGCGTTGAATAGGTGCCCGGCTTGTTTGCGCGTCCTGGACAAGCTTGACGATTTGACTTAATTGTGTATCTTTGCCCGCCCGTGTTACCTTGAAGTCAATAGAACTCGTGCCGTTCACTGTCCCAGCGATCACGGCGCTACCCTTGGCCTTGTGAATTGGCAGAGCTTCACCAGTAATCATGCTTTCATCAACATAGCTTTCACCTCGAATAACGATGCCGTCTGCAGAAACTTTATCTCCAGGGCGAAGAACGACAATGTCGCCGACCTCAATCAGTTCAGTTGGGATAACTTGGTGTCCTGGTCCAGGCCTTTCATTATCAGATGTTGACCTCTGCTCGCCGTTATCGGTTCTAAAGGATTCCCATTCTTCTGCCATCTTCTCTGCCGCAATTGGGTCATCGTAGATAGTTGTCATTGATGGGGCCAGCGACATAAGCCGAGAGAGCGCGGCGGAGGTTTGTCCCTTAGCCCTGTTCTCCAGCCAGCGACCGAGTGTTATGAACGTTATAAGCATCGTGCTCGTATCAAATACTGTGCTGGGTCGCTTATGAGGCGCGATAATCAAGGCCATCACCATTGTAAAGACGCTGTAGAAAAACGCGGCAGATGTACCCATCACGATGAGCACATCCATGGTCGGCGAGCGATGTTTTAGAGACTTATAACTGGAGATGTAAAACCGCTTCCCGACACCAAACTGCACTGGAATGGTGAGAAGCAGGCAAGCAACATCTCCAAGGTAGAGGCCAGGCATTAGCTGTACATTGCCAAAGTCGAGAGGGCGAAGGTACATAGGCAGTAACATATTAATGACAAACACAGGAACGGCAAATGAGACAGAGAACAAGAAGGAGCGCTTCCACTCCTGGACCTCCTTTGTCTTGGACAGGGATTCCAATTGCGCGTTGGTGTCATCCGTATCCGCGAGTAGGGCGTTGTATCCGGCGGCTTCAATCGCCCCCACAATTGAGCGAACCCCGATTACCGAACTGTCATAGGATACCGTTATCCGCGAAGTAGCGATGTCCACCGATGCTGAGGATATACCTGGCTTCTGAAGAAGGGACTCCTCTAGCGCACCCGCCGAGGGTGCGTCTCGCAAGCCATGAAGGCTCAGCATGACTCGGCCGACGGCATTCGAGACAGGAGCTTGCGGCTCTGAAGACAGAATGGTCGCTTCAAAACCAGCATCGTCAATCATGTTTACAATGCTCTTCGACGGTAAAGCCACGGGATCATGAGTGATGATAGCGCGCTCAGCGAGCAAGCTTATATTGAATTGGACCAACCCATCCACGCCATTGAAAATGTTTTCTATACTTGACGTGCATGCGCCGCATGTCATACCGTCTATAGAAACAGTAGTTACCATCAGTCGCGACGTAGTTTCAGTGGTCTCCTGGGAAGATCCGCTCTGAGGCGTAGTGGTGTCCAGCACCTTAGCGCCAAAGCCACGGTCTTCAATGATTTCCGCAAGCTGATCGGGTGTAACAGTAGATGCATGGTGTTCTACAACCGCTCGCTCCGAAAGCAATGAAACATTGACTGATCTCACGCCAGCTACCTCCTTCAATCCCCCTTCGACCGCTGATGTGCAGGCACCGCATGTCATCCCTTCAATCGCCAACGTGGTGGTTGAGGCCATTGATTTTTTCTCCTCGACTGTGGCTGTACCACCCGATGGGCCCGCTAGACTATCTGTAGAGATAACCGTCGCATCAAAGCCGCTATCCTCGATTATTTCGGCGACTTTGTCCGGCGATAGTACTTTTGGATCGTGGTGTACCACAGCCCGGCCCATCATCAAGCTCACCGACACCTCACCAATACCATCGACGCCTTTAAAAGCGCCCTCTACTGCGGACGTGCACGCGCCGCACGTCATTCCCTCCACATTTACAGTGGTGGTTGCCATGTGCGCTGGCGATCGGGCGGCGGAAGAGCCATCAGCCTCGGCGCCTAACATCGTGGCTTGTCGGGGATCAAAAAAAAAACCAGGCAAGGGAAGCCAGGTTCAGGCGTGTCAGTGCATAGGAGCAGCTTGCCGGCCCTTTCAGTTGAAATAAGAACGCAGCGATGTTAGCGCTTAAGAACAAAAGACGTCAACTAGTGGTTCGATAGTAGGAGAGTCGAGACGGATGTGGTCGGAAGTACGGGTGGATCGATCATTCAATTTAATCCTCGCCGAACTGGATTTAATCTTCGCCGAACTCCAATGGGGACGAAATCAGTGAGCCGAGGGGGGTTCCGTCTGGTTTTCAATGATTTGCATATGCACGCAAAAGAAAGAGGAAATTGCTCTATTATAAATCGATGCCAAGTAATAGCTATTGTCTAAGGAGGTGGGGGGGGGAATGCAAAGTATATCGCAAGCTGAGGTCGAATGTAGCCACCGGTACACGTATTTTACCAACAAGTAGATTAGATCGGATCCGAGATAGATTGCCTTTCAGCCATCAGGTCCCTTTCCCTCAAAGTCTCCCTCTGCTTTGTCCAAGGGGTTCTTCCTGGAAAGAACGGACAAGGACGACAAAGCTCATTCTTTGAATGTTTGCGGCGAAATCTCCTTCCCTACATTCCAGCCTGTGAAGGGGGTTGGGATTACTAGTACTTTAGTCAAGGATTGATGTGCATTCGCAACTTGTCCACAGTGGACGGTCCAGTGGATCATGGAAATCGACTGGATTCGCAGCCTTACCGTACCGTACGGGTAGAACACGTACTTTTCCTCGTCAGCAGCGTCCATGGGTTGGGTTCCGGAAATAGACCACAATAGGTAACCCAGAAATGAGCTCAGGGCCAACAAAATGGAATCGGTTGGTAAAGAAACTAGCGAAAGAAAGAAAGACACTTTCATCTGTCAAAATAATCATCGTTGTTAGTTGAAACAGAAAATCTCCACGTCAAAAGAAAGGGCCCTGACCGTGAAACAGTTCAGAGCCTCTACTGTTTCATTTTAAGCGCTAATACCTGATATCCTCCATGCTGTTCCTTTCCGAAGTATATTAAGGGTGACAATTGCTCCTGAGATTCTGACAAAGAATGTTCTCAAAGATTTTATGGGATTCATCTTTTCAACTCTATGCGATGCAGGCCCCTTGATGACTATTCTGTCGTCTCCTTGCATCCATTTGGAGGACCATGCGCTCTTCCTGGCATATTGGGCGCCATGAGGTTTCCAAAGACGGGTGCTCGGTATAATAACTGCTAAGAATCGGATAAAAGTTCCCTACTGGTGGAAAACTCCTCTAATTAATCCAACGGTTTAAATCTGTTATATTTGTATTCAAAGACATACCGGAGGGAAAAAAACAAAAAAAAAAAAAAAAAAAAAAGGAACACTGGACAATGATAAGAGTAAACTTCCCGATATAGCCTAGTTATCATATGTGGGGATCAATGTCATTGTTTGCATCCCAAACAAACACTCCATTCGGGACATCAGTTGGATATCATCACCATTGCTTTCAGCAACACCTTCCATTCACCCCGACGGACTGCATAGTACCTAAGTGGCAATAGAAGTGATTTGCATGGATTAGGGAAGACTCTCTGTTAAGGAAAAATTGCCGGACAATACCGAGATCTAGCATATCGCTTGTTACCGACGCTCGCCAAACAATCACACCAGCCCCAATGGATCAGACACACTCCCGGGCCATGGAGGCCCTCCAACCCTTCGTCCACCTGGCCAACTCGAATAGCGCTACATCGCCCAAATTTGTCGCCAATCTGATCACAAATGCCACTTCAAGTCCGAACGCTTATGTATTCGCAGAGCTGCTAGAGACGCCCACAGTCCAAGCCCTCCGGTCAAAGGACACCCCCGTGGAGTATCAAGGATACCTTACACTTCTGGAGATTTTTGCCTGGGGTACATGGCAGGATTATCAAAGTATGCCCCCACTGAGATCGACCCTAGTCTCTTGGAGTTTAGGAATACCTGAGCATTAATGATTTGATTAACACATTTCGAAAACAGCAACGCCGAATCTCCCTCCGCTTAACAATGAACAAACCCTAAAGCTCCGCCTTCTATCTCTTCTCAGCCTATCTGCAACCATCAAGCCGCTTACATATCAGACCCTCATGGATGCACTCTCAATAGCAGCTCCCTCCGAGCTCGAATCACTCGTCACAACCGCCATCTACTCCTCTCTTATCACCGCCCGTCTCTCCCCGGCGACGAGCCCCCCGACCATCAATGTGACCTCTGTCGCACCCTTACGGGACGTGAAACCTCAATCACTGACAACGATGATCTCAATCCTCACACAGTGGGAGACCCGCTGCGGCGACGTCATCAGCGACATCGAGGCCGAAATCGCCAAGATCAAGAGTGACTCGGCAAAACGGCGCGCGAAGGAGCAGGCTCGGTCGGTGTTGATTGAGCAGACGTTGTCAAACTGGGGCTCAGATGGGGGTGAGTCAAATTCCCGGTTTCCAGGATCCAAAAAGCAAGGTTGGCACGGAGGTGTAAAGGGTGGTTCCTCAGGGTTCGTTGGCAATAAGCGCGAGTTCAGCGGGGATGACTTTGATGATGGATACTGGGACAACGGTGCTGATGGAGCCTATGATTCACAATTTTCTACCTCAAAGATGGATATTGACCAGGGCGCAGGATCGTCCGTTCTGGGATCAGCGGGTGCTGGAGCTAGACATGCGAAGCGTGTTTTGGGGAGGAAAACCTAATGTGATGATGAACCCAAGTGATTGCCATCTCTTTCTCAGATTACGAAACACTCTAGATCTTTTTGACTGCTAGGTGGTTGAAGCAAGCACTACGTACGAACGACATGTCAACGGCCTTCTCGGATCCTGAACCTTTTTTTTCTTTCCCGTCTTGCTTGTAGAGGTTGGGCGTCAGAATATATTACTCCAATTATTTATGTCACACTGTATAGCCTAACTATCATGCACTTAACACTAAACCAAAAGGCTCGCTGAAGGTCGTTTAACGGACAATTTTAGCAGAAAAGGGGTATTCTCAGAATGTAAATGGGCAAAGAAATAAAGGGAAAAAAAAAAAGGTGGAGTGCGGGAAAAGGAAGCCGATATTGACAGAGCAAAGGCATACGGACCACGACCCAAAACTCAGCGCATTCAGATCCATAAAATTAGGATACCATGTCAGCCGATCATAAGGGTTCGAGTTCATGAGTCCGTTGCTATGACGGGGGATAATATATGCATTTCTTTCGCATGTTTGACCGCCCTGTTCAGTGCAAGAAGTCGCAATTTCCAGAAGAGCTGGGTGGTCGGAGCCAAAGCCACATCAGATCTTGTATGCCAGGCTTCGTAGTCACATGATTAGATCTGCCGGCTGTGGTCAGCCGGATTACAACGTTCACATTAACCTTCCAGTAGAGGCACCAGAGTGAGACCTAGAGACTTGGTCCAGAATTTGGCATATGTGACGCTAGTGAGCTTAGAGCATGGTACCAGGAACAAAAATGAACAGAACACTGAGCGCGGTGGCGACGAATGCAGCGATTAGTATGGTTGCCGTGGCGCGTTTGTTCAACAGCTTTCGCACATAAGGTTCACGGATCGGCGACCAGTTCATAAACGTGTATTCGCTGTATCCGAGAAATGCCATGACGGGGTCGATCTTGTACTGATATGAGACAATAAAATAGGATGCGATGATAAAAGGAAGTATCAGCTGCATGACTGTTAGTGTCGAAGCGCAGCGAAACCGGGCAACCCACTACTACATACCCAACAACGGATGTGCCTTGGCTTGTCGCGGAGGACAACGTAGAAGGCACCCCAAAATCCGCCACCAAAGCTTATTAGCGCAAAGGCAAGACGGGCAACGGTACTCAGAGGGACGAGGTTACCCAGGGCCTTCGCCTGCAAAAACCCTGGGAATGCATCGCGCTCCATGGCCTGAAAAACATAGTCTTTCGCGGGATCGAACACTTCTGGGTCATCTCGGCCATCATCCTCAACCAAATTGATAATTGTAGATACCATATCCTCCGGCAGTACAATTTCTCTTTCTGCACCCGGAAGCAGGTATGTGTACAGAATCTTCTCTGCACTTGCACGAATGTCGGCCCGTGCCACAGTATGGCCGGGCGACGTAGAATCGTTTCGCGTTCCAAAGCTTGGGCGAGGTGGCTGTTCATTAGATGGTGTGCGAGCGGCGTTCTGTGAGGCAAGGCTGCCTTGAGGCGAGTGCCCTGGGTTGTGACCATCAGAGCGCAGGAATGCCGATAGTCTTTGATCGGCGTCCTGATCATCCAACTCATGATTGCCGTGGCGCAAACCAGAGGGTCCAGCTTCCACCAGCGGTATATCGCCGAACGTCTCGAGGTTCCCTAAGGCATCAGAGGAGCCCTTGCTATCCGCTTTCTCCAAGTCGGGAGTGGCTACTAGAACGGATCGGCGTAACTCTCGAACATAATGACGGCACAAAGACATATGCTGCGAAACATCGAGCCTAGGATTAGGGTGGTTAGAAGCTTCTCGGGCGACGCAATGATATGCCAAGGTGTGCATGTATCGTACCAGAAGTCCAGATAATCGACCGAGCGCTGCTGGTCCCGCATGTAAATGTAAAACGAAAAAAGATCGACAGGAGCTAGTGTACGACGGCTAAGGACTTCGAAGAGAGTCGGGAGCCGATTCCGCTGCTCCAAGTCTGTAAGCGAAGGCGACGCCATCTTTGAGAATGATAGTGGTGTCGAAGAGCGAGATCGGTCTAAGAAAAGGGGAGAGAACGTCGCGGTCGGCTTGTGCGAGGGATTGGCCGTAAATAGACCTGAGGGGTTCAATTATGATTTCAATGACAGTAAATAGAGAAATTAGAGGGCGAGTAAAGTAACGAATGACGAGGGAAATGATTTGAGTGCGAAAAATGGGCAAAATCCGTCATGAATAATCTAGAATTTTGGAGCCTGTCCGTCACAGAAACCCCTGGCGAGGGGAGTTAGATGAGGGTAAACAAACAGCCACCGGATCGCAGCTGAAGCCCAAAAATCAGGCACAATCCATTCAGTAGCCCAGCAAGGAGCGCAAGCTGCAGAATCCACAGTGAAGAATTAGAAATAGCAATAGAAGCATACCAGCCTTCGAGTAAAGCCTCTAAGAGACTTGTGATGGTTGGTTTCTTTCTGCACGGCTGGCAGCCCGCTAAGCCCAAACTAACGGCCCGCCTTAACGTTGATCCGAAATTAAAATTGGCTTGGACCCACGGCCCGATGATCACCTCCACGTTCTCGACAGCTTTCGGCAAGGGATGCCATCATCCATGGATTCTCATCCAAACCAAGCATCGTCAACGGGTCTGTCACATTTCCCTGCCAAAGAAATAAGCATTTGAACGGATCGGCAATAAAAATGTGACTATATCGAATGTCGCCTAGACTGTGCAAGGAAGGAAGAAGGAAATGGTTATAAATATATATGGGGAAAAAAAAGAAAAAAAGAAAAAAAGGACGAGCTATACAATGCCAAGGAATAGGACTATTGCAAGACTCCCATCGAGTTTATCACCTAAAAATACATATTAAAAAGGAAACCGAAATGCTCCATGCATCAATTGGGTATTTGCTCATGACACCGTCTTTAAAAATGTAAACGCCAGCAGCCGAAACTCCTACCTCTCCAAGCTCATGCAATCATTCAATCAATTAGTGGCCATCCGCCAAGTGCTATAAGACAACGATTAGCAACGCAGGGTTATCACCAAGCCAGGGATACACTGGTATACTTACCGACCACTCGGGGATATTTCGAATCTGTTGCCACATGAATTTCTCCAATTTATTCGCACTCTTTGCATAAGGGGTGTTCTCGTTGTTGTATCTTCGGCAATTGTCAAAGATCAACATAGCATCTTTGATGAAATCTTGTGGTGTCGGATACATGTCCTTCTCGTGTTTTTCTTCCATGGTCGACAGATCCATTGGCTCCTTGATCACTTCATAGTAATCTGGAACCTCGTCGCGATTGACCGGCTGCGTAAATGGCCAGGCTGCACTATGGTTTTGCATATCGTTCAGCAGATGTAGCAGTTGGTTGTAATTCGGTCCATGGCGTGGCTGACGCGCCAATTCATCCATGTCGGGTGACCATCCAGATTGCTTGATTGCCGGGATACTTAATGGATCGATTTTACACGCTCCATTTTTCCATTCCTTGGGTGGGGCGTGTATAATATGTGATCGGCTGAAGGCACGGATCTTTGCGTGTACTGCTTCTTTTTGCTTTAAAAGCATACGACCAATCTCAAGGTACCGTATCTTTGGAAGCATCGTACATTGCATAATGGTGCCTCCTTCATAATCCTTAATGTAACCCATCCAGATAGACTTATCCAGTGTAATTTCCTTGGTGAACCCTTGCTTCTTAAAATACCCAATAGCGTAGTTATCCGCATATGTCAGAAAATGCATGATAGGCGACGTTGCTTTCACATAATCCTGTACAGCGCTTAGCATTCCCTGTGCACCGCAATGAGTTGAGACCAGTTACCTTCAAGTGAGACATCAAATGCGCACCGTAACCCTTAACCTGTTGATCAGAAGATATGGCACAAAAAACAATTTCCGCAAATCTGCGACTGTTGAAAGGCCTGTATGTGATTCCTCTGCGCATCATTAGCAAGAGCGTGTGCCAGGCCTCCGAAAGATCATGTGCACATACCCTACTACTTCCAACGGATGTTTGACAATAGCGATAGATAAATGCGATCTATCGTAGACTAACCGAGCAATGTAGTCTTTGGGCATCTTCGGGAGCTGCTTCTGAAAGATGCACTTCAGTCCAGTGAGGACGACAAAGCTGTCGCGCGAACCATCGTTATTAACAACACGGAATTCGATCTCCCCTCGACGTTCTTCCAGTACGGCTGGCTATCAAAGGTCCATGATAAGCATTGTCCACGCAAGTGATCATAAAAGACGGCCTACCTTCTCCGGGAAAGGAACGATCCTCAATGGTGGCTTTCCCAGTGGTCCACCTTCAGACTTTAGATTACCGTCAGCACACTCCACCGATACTATTCCTGTATCGAAAAAAACAGACCTTTGGTTCCCTCTCCGGGGAATCGGTGCGCGCTTTCTTACTCTGTTGCTGTGAGTCTGGGGAAAGGGCCTCCTCCGAAGCTTTCCGTTTGTTGTCTAGACCTTCGTTCAGTAAATAAACGCATCAAGGATCTCGAGCGACCGCATTTCAATATTATCCACTCACTTTCCGATGCCATTCTCGTCAGATGTACCAGTAATGCGGCTAGGACGCTTGCTTGTCAGCTCCTCAGTCCCAAGCGGCGCGATCTCCACGTTTGGCCGATATGGGGGGTCGGTATCGGGAATACAATGGTCCGGTACCATTATGCCAGATAACTATCTACCTGTTCGAAGGGAGCTTCAAGAAGCTTCAGTAGTCTCCAATTCATTCGTTTCAAGCTTTATTTGCTCTAGTCACTATCTACTGGGCTTCGTTAACATTAGTCTATCCCCATGTCGTTGAACGAAGTTTGGGAGGCTGCCTCCGCGAGCCCTTACACTCCACTGATTTCCAAAGATAGCCAATTCTCCGTCGGCTTCACCCTCTTGCTTTCCGGTAAGACAGTTTGCGCTACATGGCCGTTAATCGATCACACTGACGCATCTATCAGCACTGATATTGACTGGTCTTTTCGGACTGAGTTTGTGTCCCTATTTTAACATATCCTCGTCCATATCTAATGTTTAGACAGACCGTTCTTTCTTGAGTATCGCTTCATTTGGCGTTCCAGCGTCATTGGCATTCGGGTAAGAAGAGCGCCTTGCGCAAAGGGACCGACAATGGCTAATACCACCATCCAGCTTCGGGGCCGTATACATGATCTGCGCTGTTGGGGTCTACGTTTAGGAAGACTTCCAGATCTTTTCAATGTACCATATACCCAGTTGAAAGAGAAGCAGAAGGATTATACCATTAGAAACGTCGAAGCTCTTCCTCCCTGCAGACTCTCTCTAAATCTAATTTTTCCGAGTTCTTTGCTTTCGGTCTTTTCTGCTATCTCGTACATCCAGCATGGCCAACGAGGAGCCCATCTTCTCCGCTGTTTCCAGCAATGCTCACCATCTCTATACTTTGCTACAGTGCATTGGCTTTGCACCGAAAGCTACCGTGCTTATTACCCCAGATGGGATTCGCTTTTCTGTGGAGGAAAGCCGAGTAATACAGGGACTCGCGTTCCTCGACAAAGCTCTTTTCACCACCTACACCTTCAACCCACCAGCCGCGCCGAACAACACGTCTATGGATTCGGGAGACGAGGATGATTCTTCAGACGCTACTTGCAATCCATGCTTCGTTGTGTCGCTTTCTGCCCTCCTTGAGACACTGAAGATTTTTGGTGTAAATGATCCATCCGCCACTGGGGCCAACAAAGCAGTTAGTGTCCAACCGTCGAACCCCTCATCATCGAACGCCTTCACCACGCCTGCATTGCTTTTTGATCGTTCATGTACCTTGCAGTATTTCCAGAACGGCTCCCCTTTGAGCATCACTTTATCAGAGACTGGGATCAAGACCACTTGTGAATTGACAACCTACGAACCCGACGGCGGCGAAGTCGATATCCCTCTTCAACGTGATGCCATCACAATGAAAGTTATCATGCGCTCTGCATGGCTACACAATGCTATTGTGGAGTTAGGTGCCACTAATCCCAATGTGTTAAAGATATCCGCCTCGGCAGATCAGGAACCTTTCTTTGCTTTGTCTGGTTCTGGTGGCCCGTTCAGCGAGTCCTCTGTAGAATTCTCAATAGAGGAGCAAAGCCCGAACAACGGGGCGTCGTCCCAGTCTCGCAAGGTGTTAACAGATGATGGCACGTCCAGATCTCGGGCTAAGAGGACCAAGCTTGCACCCACTGTCACCGAGACCTTCCTTGTCAGCCCACCGTCTTCAATGGGTTCTCGCATCAAGCAAAATTACCGATTTTCTCTCATACAGAAGGCATCTCGTGCTATGGCTGTGGCTAACAAAGTAAGCATTCGAGGTGACCGACAAGGGGTCTTAAGTCTTCAGTTCATGGTTGAATTCGACACACACGGCTCCAGCGGTGCGAACAATAGCACAAGACCGTCTGAGGGAGCGCTAGGGCCCACGGTGACCTTTGTAGATTTCCGCTTTGTGCCGTTACTGGATGATGAGGCAGCTGATGAGGACAGCATGGGTGAACTCGAATAACATCTGGCTGCGGAGCCACAGCTCTAGGTCAGAGTACAAGTTAGCAATTAAATAGTTTGGGTTTAGTTAATACAAGTTATTCGCTCACAGCAATGGCACTACACAATGGATGTCTCATATCTGCCACAGACTACCACTAGATATCGGGGCCGTGTTGAGTGTAATACCTTTCTATAGAACAATCGCGCAATTATCTTACTTGTCCTTGTAGGCTGAGTCTTCTGTACTCACGGTACAACTTCTTGCGACCGTAAATTCTCAGCAATGCTCGTCGCCTATAAATTGGCTACGCCTTTTGAGGGAAATCCATTACTGCTTCTCTGAAGCATGCTTTGGTAAACATAGTTTTCTGTCATCTGTAGTAGGAAGTACGACCGCTAATGAGTCTAACGCTCGTGCTATGCTTGCCTTTAGATAGCTTAAGGTATATTATTAATATTAAGAGAAGAATTTTTCAATTGTTTTTGTTATGCTTTTCCACTGCTGCCCATTATGTCCATCCACCGCTGCATCGACTGTGTAAGAACCTCAATTCCCTCATCAATCACCTGCGTTATCGGCTTGTTGATATTAGCCTAATATAGTCATACCACGGGTCCAAAACGAGTTTGTTGACGTTGAACTTGGTGACACCTGCTTGAATACACGCCTTCGACAGCTCCGGGGAAAAGTCGTTAGTTCCATGTAACACCAATCGGGCACGCCCATTCAGTGCTTTGAAAATTCCGTGAAGCCTAAAGTATGCATAAGATTTAGCGAAGTTCGGTGTACAGTTCATTGCAATTCTTACCGGTCCATGTCTGGTTGAGGTCCTTTGGGACCATAATCACCGTGGAGGTTGCCAACGCTCGGAGCCAGATAGTCAACCCCCGCACGTACGAAGTCTTCAACATCTTCAGGACTAGTTAAGATGCCTGTACAAAGCAGTGTTAGATCAGAAACCCTGAGTTCTGCATTGAACCTCATACCTTCCAGGTCACCTGTGTCCATAATTCCATCCTCGCCACCTTCGATTCGCCCCGTCTCGGCCTCAGTCGATATGCCTCTAGCGTGACAATATTCACGCAAAGCTGCGGTTCTTTCCAAGTTTTCCTCCTTCTCATAATGGCTCATATCTACCATTATCGAGTCAAACGGTAGACTGTCCGCTATCTCTTTGATTTGATCATAGTTTTGTGCGTGGTCAAGATGAAGTGAGATAGGGACGGAGGCTGCTCTCGCTGCGGCTGCAGCTGCATGAACAAGCGATGGTGTTTGGGTCAGCGCCGAAGGGAATAATTGTATGATTAATGGCGAGTTGCGGTTTTCAGCTGCCCGGACGAATGCAGTGATATGTTCGACGTTATAGCTGAGAACGTTCGTTACCTTGTATTCTTCCGGGGTAGCAATCACTCTACCTTACGCAATTGCTGCAAGAACGCCATATTGGCCTTTTTCCGCTGCATCCAGGATTTGCAGGGTCTTGTTTGTTGCACGCCGAGTCATTGTAAAGCGGGGTTAGAGATGGTCACTGAATTGTTCTTGTGTGTCAAAGCAACACTATCAACATGGGGATTTTCTCATGGTCTTTAAATGAGCTCGAGCTCATGATGAAGGATGCTCGTCTCGAGGCAGGTTCGCATTTAATGACTAATGTGGTATCTCTAAGCGCCGGTCGGGGCTTACAGGGGCTCACAGCTCGGCGTTGGTCCGGGAATCAGAACGGAATTATTGGCATGGCTAGAACTGCCATGATTAGGGTCACACTCATATTATTGCCAGTTCAATAAAGGACCTTTACTTCCACGCATCCTGCCCGTCACTTCGGGATACCCGCTCCTCAATCCCCTGCGGGGGCATTGGGGGACTCCACCCCGTACTACTAGTACTAGTAATACGTTCGAGGGCGCTTTTTCTTGTAAATACTATGTGTGGAGTTGGTGGTAATAGTATAGTAAATCCAACTCTAACCACGTTGAGCTGCCAAACCACGCTGAGGTCGAGATAGGGACACGGACAGTTCAGCTGTAGTTAGCCAAAAATGCCAAGAAACCTCTAACCACGCGGAGCTGGAAGTCTGGGGCAAGAATCAACTGGTTGAAGGTCAGTTCGCTGCTTCCGCGTGGCTCCCCGCAGCCTCGGCCCGTGCTCCAACCTCGACACGACCTTCCAGCAGGCAAAGTCGAACATACTTGCATTAGTTGATATCGGCTGTCACATACTTTCTGTTGAGCCTTTCTCCACCATGCCGAACAATGGCCCGCAGAGTGGCATCCGAAAACCACGCAAATCTCGCGGTCGAGGCTTGCGGACTAACGCAGGCTGGTCAGTATCACTGAGATTCTTTTTTTTTCTCTCTTCTTTTTGCGACTGTCATATTGCGAATAGTGCTGACCGTCCATAGCTTAATTTGCAAGCGTCGCCATGTCAAATGTGACGAAGTAAGTTGATCAGTCCACGTAGAAACCTCTGCATAAGTGAAAAATATCGCTTATCATCAAAGATCCGCCCACAATGTGGACCATGCGCAAAAGGTCAACGGCCCTGCGCCTATGGGGATGCCAATATTACCCCCCCTCACGCATCTATAAGCACAATTCCGAGCCAGGATATTCCCACGGTGATAAGTTCCCAGGCACCAATTCATGAACCCCTGCAGGTGCTAGTGGATGCATGTCACCAAGAACACCCAATACAACCCAGCAATTTTAATCAAACATTAGCCCCCAATAGATCCAATCACCGTCAGGTTTCGAGCAGAGCAGTGTCGTCTCCGCTTCGCGAATATGTCCCTTCACCTGGAACGGAGTCATCGGCAACCTCATCGAGGGTGGCGCCCCTGAGCTGGTTTGAGCTTCTGGCTCAGGATGCGGCAAATGCAGACAGAGAGTTTTTACTATCCCCTCAGCAAAGATTCCCACTACCGACGACAGAGGAAGCTTCAATAAGCTCAGCGCAAAGTCCGGCCTTTGAGCCACGAAATCTGAGAGAACGGGAAAGCTTTCAGGCGGCATCATTTCACCATGACCCAGAATTAGGAAAGAAAGTTCCATTGGCAGCCGTTGATGAGCAGTCACATGCTCTTCCGGATGTGCCATCTTCGTGGAGCACGTCGGGTCCCATTCAGCTATCAGAACAGGAGTTCCGGCTATTTACTCACTTTGTGCAGACATTCAGCGGCTGGTTGGACTTTTTTGATTCATCCCAGCAGTTTTGCTCTGTCGTTCCTCATCTAGCTCTGAGAAATACCGGTCTGATGAAGGCGTTATTGGCGTTATCGGCGAGACATCTGACGCTTATCAGGGAAACCCGTGGGGATTGTCGTCACGATTTTGAGCCTTCAATTTCAGTTGATCGGAACGTCGCCGTTCGCTATTACTATGAAACACTACATTACCTAAACAAGGCTATGCGCTATCAGTCATATGCTGGAAGCCAGGAGCTAATTGCCACGGCTCTCTTGATCAGTACGTATGAGATGATTGATGGCTCCAACCGAGACTGGGAACGACACCTCAAAGGGGTATTCTGGATACAGCGATATCAAAACAACGATGGTGAATGCGGAGGCCTCCGTCAAGCTGTGTGGTGGGCCTGGCTTAGACAGGATGTCTGGGTAGCCATGCGCGAGCGGCGCCGAGTCTTCAGTTTTTGGAGGCCAAAGAAGCATGTTTCAGTCCTCACGATACCAG